TCTCTGAGGACTGCCCAGCCCACGCAGTGTCTGAGTCATTCTACAGAAGTACCTGTCTCTCATGATGGATTACATATGAAATAAGGAAAATTTGTGAAGTTATCCTTCCAGATTAGTGCCTCAAAGACAGTGAGGTCCACTCTGGTTTCAGAACCCTTTGTCAGAGATTTCACCTTTTGTATCTTTATTCTTAGATGTATAGGAATGCATATCTGTAGTAGAAAAACATTTTTAGAATGCTTTTAGAATGATGTTGAGTCTGAGGGCAAAAGAAAGTCATCAACAAATTGAATGTGGTTTTAATTATCATTTTTGAGTGAGATGGTTTAACTCCTAGTTGTAACATCACAGCTACCAGCTCCTCACAAGGGGAGTGAAGGAAGGGCAGTGCTGAGCTCTGCTTTCTGGTGACAGTGATAGGACTCATGTAGCTGTGTTGGGGGGAAAGGAGGGTCGATTTGGTGTTTAGGAAAAGGTTCTTCACCAAAGAGTGGTCAGGCATGGAACAGGCTTCTTAAGGAAGTGGTCACACAAGATTTGAATTTCGAGTGGCCCTGTGCAGAGCCAGAAGTTGAACTTGTTTATCCTTGAGAGTCCCTGCCAATGCAGAGTATTTGATGATTCTGTGTTTCTATTGCCGTCTTGTAAGTGGTTACAATTCCGGAAGTATTTGTCTGAAAAACTTCACTTATCCTTCTGAAGTTTAGAGACCTAATGGAATTTTTGAGTATAACTTGGATCCATGTTTGTTTGATATACAAATGTGCAGGATTTTCATGGTCTGTGACCATTTTCTGCCCCTCCTGATATGTCTTTAATGTGTATGTCTGAGACAGTGTTGGCGAAAGACTTAGTCCCAATATCTTTCCACAGCTGACATGAGTATATTCTCAGGTTCTTCTTGCTGCTTCCATTTGGGAAGGCTGCAGCCTCTGGTATCTCTTCCTTGTCTATGTGCATGACCTTGTGCTTTGTAACTCTAATTTAAACCCACTTTTATTACTTTAGTCCTTCAGACTCACAGCCCAGTTCATTCTGTATGACTTTCACTTTTTTACTGAGGTCTTGGATCTGGCAAATGTTTTTAGCATACAGTGGATTTTTGTATCAACATCATTAAAAAATATGTTTAGTTCCAAAAACATTATTTGAAATATTACTGTTCTAGTAATACTGCATTCATCCTAATGTTATTTCCTTCCCGTAAATCAAATTGTGATCCCTACACTTTTCTAGCATACCTTATCCAGAATAATTTAATTTTTTCCACAGTAATTGGTATCGTATTTGGTGAATATGTTCAGACCATTCCTGTGTTCCTTCTCTTGAAATATCAGTGATCTTATAAAGACAGGTAAACTTAACATAGTCTATTTTGGAATAAAGCTGTTATTGTTTATATTTCATGTCTCACTACTTCAATACCCCTAGTTGTGCAATGTTTCACAGTTTGTTTCAAATTCTTTCAAAGTGCCCCATGAGGTCAGACCAACTTTTTTTCAGTTGCCCAGATCACATACATTCCTTTTTCTTAAAGGACAAAAAAGAGTTAGAGTTTATTAATACTGTTTTTTTTTTTTTTTTTTTTTTTTCAGACATTTGATTGACAGTTTGTTAGATTCATTAGAAGTCTTTGTTATTAAACTGGCCTTTCATATGCGAGTATTGCAAGTACTCTGGCGTGAAGATATCCTGTCTCCGCCTCATGGTCTAGACACTTCATTTAAAACAGTTTCATGTCTTTGTTTTGTTCTCATCTCTGATAATTAATTTTCATTTCCATAGTCTGTATCACTAGCTGCACTGCATTTACAGCTATGGTCAACATCTCCATATTAATTTCATTTTGGACTGTCTGTAAATTATCTGTAATCTTAATGCTGTTTGCTGCTTTGTGAAGTCTCTCTCTCTCTCTTTTTTTTTTTTTTTCTATTTTCTTTTTATTTGAATGATGAAAGTACATTTTAGTACTTGCAATTTTGCAAGATCTGACCCTGCCTAAAATTTTCTCTTCTTGCTTCCTCCATATATTTTCTGACATCAGACAGTTTTCCTTGCATATTAGTTTCATTTTCCACCCTATGAGCTCTCTGTGTGCTCCAGATATACTCTCTGAGGTGATTGCTCACCCAGTTAGAAATGAAGCCCTTTATTATAAAAGGTTTTTCCACATGTTTGAAGCTGATATTTTTACAGCCCACAGACACGGTCTTTTTCTTCAAGAAATTCTGGAACTTCTTTTAGACTTTACTATTTCCCATATTCTCTATTTTTAAGTTAAATTCTAATTTATTTATGCTTCACATTTATTTATGTTGCAACAATTTTTGTAAAATGGAGCAAATGTGTCATCACTTACTCTGAGATATGCCTTTCTTGACCAACTGTTAAATAAGGTCTTGTAGCTCACTTTTCTTCACTTTTTTTTTGTGTGGCCCATCCTCGGATACCTGAGTCTCACTCTTGATAGTGGAATTTATCATCTAGGAAGTTACAATTTTACTTCACAGCTTTCACAGAGCTATGTTATTTAACATTTCATACTTCTGTACATCTGAATATTCTTACAGCCCATAGCATACATGATTAATAGTTCATCACATCTTTATTTTTGTCATGAGGAAGAATGGTATTGTTGGTGCATGCTGAAGTGGAAAGTAAGCAAGAAGAGGATTACTATGGCCACTGACTTCATTACCTACTGCATCATTTATGTGACGGGAAAGGTACAGGAAGGAACACAAAATTCTGCAGGTAGATTGATTGCCTTCTACACTGCAGTATAGTCCTCTCACCCAATTTTATTTTTTAGTAGAATATTGTTACAGGTTTACAGCTCTAAAAAACTTTGCAATGAGGAAAATCAGGTTAAGTGAGAGATCAAGATGAAGATCATGAATACAATTTCACAAATTCATGAGTTAAATTCCTTATAGCAGTCTTCAGTCACATGCAAGAAATTTATTATTCCTCTCAGTTTGATTTCATTAATTTTTTAAAATTTCATTAATTCTTGTTGAATAAAGCCCAAATCTACTTTGCATGTCTATTCTCATGGATATCTCTTACTTATTTTCTGTAAGCAGTTGTATAAATGCAAGGTAAATTATTTTTTTCCTTTATGCATCACACACTATATTAGAGAATCTCTGATAGATTTTCTAATAGACATTACTGCTGCTGGACCTTCAGTACTATCCAGCAGTGGCTTCTGCCTTACTCCGTCATTTAGGAATGGGAACAGGAAAATCTGTCCTGCTTTTATTAAATCATCTCTTTTTTTTCATTTTCATCAGTGAATATCAAACTGTTGAATCACAAGAGTATCTAACATGGAAAATGCAAAGTCACTGTGATAAGTAATCCTTGAAAAGAATGAAATATGGGGAGATAGTTATATCTTTAGTTTTTTTCAGTTACCTGAGGACTTATCTCAGTTTTCCAGAATGGCTTATGCCACTGCCTGTCAGTGAAGCGGAGTAATCACAAGACTAGTTTTTTTCATTATATATTTTATATTCTTCTCTCTTTTTTCCCTCTCTTTTACTGACAGAGAGTTATTTAAAAATTTTTAATAAGGTGGCAGCTCCTGTTTTAAAACAAGACTGAGCTTTATTTTCTCATGTGTTCTTCTACTATATTTTTTTCCAGATACTGATTTGAATCTTGTCTTAGGGCCATCTTGGAAGGCAAACAAACTGTTATGGAGAAACACAAGATACTCCTTTTTCTCTTAAAAATGTTTCAGTTACAGAAGTTATTTAAGTTCCTTTTCATTAGCAGCAGGCTGGGCTTCTGTTTTCAGGCAGTTGACTCTGCAGGTAACAAGTGCATTTAAAACAGATGTAGTGATTGAAAGATAATTTACTTCAGTTAAGTAGATAAAATTGTTTTTTATTTTAAAATGAAATACTTCATTTTAAAGTATTTACAATTTTTTTTTTTTTCTTTTACATTTACTACATAAAATTGTAAAGGATTGCTTAAAGTATTAAGAAACAGAAATTTGCACCTAAAATTTAATGTAGAAGGTGATAATGTACAATAGAAATACTGTAAATTGTCACATAGTCTGTGCTATATATATTTGGCTATATTTAAAGAACAGTAAAGAATTCATAAAAAGTTTATCTTTATTATTCTAGTTCTTTGTACTATTAGATATATTACAAATTTTAAGCAACGTACTATTCAATTAATCAAAAAACAAGATACCATTAAGTAGCTGCATTTGTTCACTTAAGACAAATGTGTTTTGCAAATTATTGTAAGTAAATACAGTTCAGTGTGAGTATTAAAACATCCTATATTCCCAATATACTGTCACCATATAGATGTAAAATTCAGTTTTGCAGCAACAACCAAATGGATTCTCTAAGTAGATGGGTGAAAGCTGGAGGAAAAAAGATTTTCACCTTTCAGTAGAGGTGGAATCTGCTGTTTCTGTTGCAGGAGGAAGTTACTGCTAGGCACTGTTACTGGCCCTCTCCATTCACCTCTTCATGATTTGTGTCACTAAAGCTAATTCCAGTGTCCTCAGGCTGAAGTTTCTGTCCATCCTTTGCCAACAATTGGCCAAAGGGATGAATGTAGTCTCTGAACCTCCAGTTTTATTATGTCAGTTGGTTAAGAGTAGAAAAACATGGAAATGAGAAAGAGTGAAAGTAATAAGAAAGACCACTGTTCATACAGGATGTTCTAGCTCTTTATTCAGTGATAAAGTAAATATTTTTTTGTAAATGTATCAAAATTAGACTTCATTAGACATACATTAGACTTCAAAGTCATGGTGACTTCAGGTGTCTCTAGACATTTAGGATCATATTTATTCATATCTATTTATGAATTCATATGAATGATATTAATTGAATCTGTTAATTATATTCATTTAAATCTGTAATCGATGGAATCTACTTTTAAAAAATGGATTCAGAAATATAGCTTTCTTAATGAGAAAAAAAGGACTTGACACACTCTTTCCTTCCACTGCTAGGCCATGGAAAGTGTGACTGTGGGAAGTGCAAATGTGATGAAGGCTGGTATGGTGAAGCTTGTCAGTATCCAACTACTTGCAATCTTACACGGAAGAAAAGCAATGAAATGTGTAAGAATTCTCAAGATATCATCTGCTCTGGTGCAGGTAAGATGTCTTTTGTTTGTCTCGATGGCTTAAGTTCTTTGTGTATTATCTTAAGTATCACTGGTTTCTTGTCTGATTAAGAATTTTGTATAATATGTTCCAGGAAACTGATAAATAACTGTGCATATATTAAAATGCTTGATTTTCCTATAGGCTCATTCCTGTGCATATGTTGTGCAGTTATTCAGTATGCTTACTTGAGAACTATAGTTTATCCATAGCTTCAGGTTGATGAAAGTGCCTCTGTGTCAGGTATTCTGCCCATCAATAAGCTGTATTTATAGCATTAATACAGAAAGTGAGTTTTGTGTGTGTCTGTGTGTTAGATCACAACTTCCAATATATATTTTTTCAGAATGCTTGTAAGCTGTGCAATTTTTTGAGAACTTTTGAGCTCATATTTTGTTACATGGCAAAGTTTTGGAAACACAGAGTTGTAAGAGTGGCTCTTGTGAGCAGAGACCAGCAGCTGCCCTATGTCAGAGCAGAGCCATGAGTGATGCTGGATGTGGTTTGGGAGAGCAAATTTAAGGAAGGGAAAAACTGCTGAGCAGTAGCTGGGAGAGAGGAGTGAGAAATGTGAGAGAACAGCCCTGCAGACAGCAAGGTCAGTGTAGAAGGAGAGCTGGAAGTGATTCAGACATGAAGGAGAAGTTCTCTGCAGACCAGGAGAGGCCCACAGTGGTTTAGGCTGTCTCCCTGCAGCCCACAGGCACCACATGGAGCAGATCTCCCCATGCGGCCATGGAGGAATCTGTGGTGCAGCAGTGGACGTGTCTGTAGAAGTTCACAGCCCATGGAGAGCCCCTGCAGGAACAGGTTTTAAGACTCTATTTAGTTTTGGTTTTATTTCCTACTTCATTTCCTACTCTGCTATTGATTGACAACAAATTAAATTAATCTTTCCAAAGCTAAGCCTGTTTTGCCTGTGATGGTAATTGATGAGCGATCTCTTTGTCCTTATCTCGACTGAGAAGCTTGTTCGCCATATTTTCTCCCCCTGTCCTGCTGAAGAAGGAGGAGTGAAAGAACATCTGGGCAGTTACCTGGTAGCCAGCCAAAGCTGTGACAATGATTATCAAAAAACTGTTGTGGAAAATTTACCGAATCATTTAATGAAGTATTTTCATATTCATCTTTCTGGTATGGTAGTTGTCTTTGCTGTTATTTTTAATTTTGCAACTTAAATGGGCAGGCAGCTCAGCACTACAAGGCTATTTGCTCATTCCCACCCCTCCCAGTGGGGGAAAAAAAAGTAGAAATCATAGGCGGAGATAAAAACCATTTACTAAAACAGAGAAGGAAAGGAAAATTAATAGTAATGGTAATTTTATATGTATTTACAGAACAAGTGAAGGACCACTCACCTACCAATTCTCTGCCAGTTCCCAAGCCAGCTGCCTCCAGTTTTATACTCTTTGCATGACACCATATGTTATGGAATACCTGTTTGGACTGTTTAGATCAGTTGTCCTGGTTGTGTCATTCTTCCTCCCCTCCTTGTGCACCTCCAGCTCCTCACTGGCAGGGCAGCATGTGAAGTTAAAACACCCTTGGCTCTGTGCAGCACTGCTCAGCAACAAATGAACAAGAACATCAGTTTGTTATCAATATTGTTTCTCCTCAAGTCAAAACATAGCATCATATTAGACATTCTGAAGAAAATCAACTCTGTCCCAGCTGAGACTGGGACAGTTATGCATCGTTTTCCAAAGCAAAAAGTACTGAGAAAGCAGTTGTTTGGTTTGACCTGTCTCTCTGAGAGAAAAGAGGGGATTACTACTTCCCTTGGAGCAACAAAACAAAACTTTTGTGTTTGAGACAGTGGGCTATGGAGAGACAGCCACTGAGTTGAGGGAGCAACCCTCAAAGACTAAGACTAAGAAGCAAACATGATCAGACCAGTGGTGACAGAAGAAAGAGCTATTTAGAAAAAAAAAAAACAAAAAAAACATTTCCATGTTTTGCATCCTCTGAGCTCTCTGCATTTGTAATATGTCAGAAAGTCTTCTGCTCTGGCTTATGTTCTGAGAGAATTCAACTCTGTGGTTTTAAAGAATCCAGGGGTCTTGTAGATAGTTAAATCAAGGGAGACATAGGTCAAATGAATCCATCCCACTTTTTGCGATTAGCTTGTCTGTTATCTAATATATTGGCGTACTAATCACTTTCTAGAAAGAATCTTAAGATTTTTAAATCCTATTCCTCATATAATAAGCATAAAAGGAAGCTGGTGACTACAGTGCAAATACACTTTTTGAAATGATACAAATATATTTTCAGGTTTTCAATAGCAAAACTCTAACTCTTATCTAAGACGACTGTGGAGCTGGGCAAAATCAGGTTTTATTCTTGAGAAGATGACTAAGCAATTTTTTTTCCTCTTAGTTGGCTGAAGATATAATTTTTAAAGCTGATTTAATGCCTCAAGTACATGAATTAAGACAGACAATCCTAGGAGTGAATTTTACATATTAAAATATGATGCTGCTTATTAAGAGTGCATCACTTTAATATTGTATCTATTTAGAGACAACATTAGACTTCTTCCTGACGTGGATTATTTCCATTTCATTCATTATCTAGTTACTGCTCAGAAATATATACTGTCACTGATGGAGTGCTAAAACTCCTTCCATAAGTTCTAGTCTTTGAGTTATGTCTTAAATATTTGCAGGTACTTGTCAGTGTGGCAGGTGTAAATGTGTAAACTCAGGAGGAAGTGGACTGGTCTACGGTAAATTTTGTGAATGTGACGACAGGGAATGCATAGATGATGAAACCGAAGAGATTTGTACAGGTATGTTTCATTTAGTATGTTAAGAATGGTGAAGATGAAGGTAGTTTGTTATACAATTCTTCAGTGAACTTGAAACATGTTTTTCTTGAATGTATAAATTAAAACAAAAACAGTACTGCTAATAAATTTTAAGTTAGAATTTCAGATGCAAAAATGGGCTAGAGAGGAATTGAGAGAAGGAAGAAATCCTTTGACATCTTCCTCTTTTTGAAAGAGATAATTTACTGGAGTACTTCATACCTTACTACAGCTGTCATTGGTAGAAAATAAGTAACATGTTTTGTGACACAGATGACAGCGAGAGGGAAAGTAAGGGAGAAAACCCAGAAAAAATAGAAAAACAGATTATTTTGAATTTGGGGCAAGAAAGCAAAATTTAGAAAGGAATGAGAATGAATGTGAGATAAGAGCTCAGAAGCAATTCAGGAGGTAAAACGTGAAAGGAACAAATGAAGAAAGTCTTCATCTGTGGTAGAAAACACAAGAGAATAGGATGAACTCTGCTGTGAGAAGTGCAAATAAAATCCAAATGGTGCTTTCATTTCATTATAAATTAGGAACCTAACAATTAAATACCATGTAAAACGCACCATTTCTAGCACTGCAAATGCTGTTGCATATGTTAATAGGGAGGTTTGTTCTTGACATGAAAGTTGCTACAAATATTTTACAAGCTATACATATGCAGTGTCTGTGTGCATACGGCTGTACCCAGAACACCACTTAGAACATTCATTCTCTGATAATATATATATATATATATATATAAATAGTGTATGCTCTGCATGTTTGCGTGTGTAAAAAGGCAGACTAATTGAATATAAAATCTTCATCTGTCTTAATGCTTACATAGAGAGCAAAATAAATGGTATTTAATTATGTGTCCTTTATGGGAGCAGGACCTACATTTTTTCCCCATGGGATTAGGTATGGATTGTAAATGAAAGTAAGTATGTAGAACAGTCCTCTAAAGTCCATACTTACGATTATAGGACGGTAATTACCTGAAATAAAATGAGTGAAAGGCAATAGTATTTAAGTGTTAATGATCCAGTTTACATTTATTTGCTTGTAAAAAATGGATATGGTACCAACTGTGATATAAATTCGTCATTTAGTTCCAGTAAATTCTCCTGCAGTTTTTGTCAGTTTTTCTCTCTGTCTTTGTTGCTGCTGATTGACATTGTTAGGCTTTTCTAAGTATTTTATTTCACATTGTTTCACTGGCATCATGCTCCAAAACAGAACAGATTCATCTCTTAAGAAAATTACTTTTATGTGTTTAAAGATATCAAAGTATGTTGATGTACACAGACAGAAAGGCCGGTGTAATTCATCAGCACATAAAAATTTTATACTTTATGTATAAAATCAAATAAAAAAATAGGTACCCTTTACTTGCTTAGGTTGCTGTAAGATTAAAAGTTTATACACTTAGTGTATGAGTGTTAGATTTTGCTTTGCTTTCTAAAATGAACCTCTCCAGAACATAAACTATGTATTTAATCAGAAAAAATTGGACAGCATATGACCTGAAAGGTCAAAAGCACATAGTTTTACAGCAGAAAAAAACCAGACCCTTCCCCCATGTCTAGTTATTGTTTCTCTCTCCCACTTGGATGTTTACTTTAATATTGTATCCATCCTTTCCTTCCAAAGGATTTCCATCATAGTAATCATTCAGGTTTATTTATGAAGTAAAAAAGAAATGGAGTTCCAACTCAGGCAAACGTTACTTATCTAGCAGTGGTCCCTGGTTGCTCCCATACAGAGAGTAAACCGAATCGGTGCCTGTTCTGCTTTCCTACTGTGTGCAACACCAACTTAGTTCCTACGTACTCTTTATTTCCCTTGAAGCATTCTGGCTATAGGAAAGTCTTGAAGACTGCGATTGACTTCAAAAAGACAAACTCAGGAGGAATCAAGCTAATAAATCATTAGAAGTTTATATTTATACACATATTTTTAAGGCCTGCAGCTGTGAGCTGGAATTTTATCCTGGAAAGGCTTCCAGTTGAAATCTTAGATATTGATAACATGCATTTTAAGCTTTGCACAAGTGGACTGTATTTTTAATCAAAGCATTTTTTAGGCAAGGCACACTTACAACAACATATCAAGCTTTTCATTTGAATTTTTTTCGGCCACTTGGTTGTTTCTGCTTCACTAGGTGTTTGAAGCTACACAGATTTTGGAATGAAGTTGCAGCAATTTTTTTCATAAAGTTTTAGCAAATTAAATTTTGATCCTGATCTTTTTTTCCCTAAGGCTATGTGCTTTAATGAAGCAGCTTTATCTTCAGCCAAGAGCAAGTGGTAGAGTCAAATTGTATTATTTAATTCATATTTGGGGACACATAACTGTGAGTGAAAGATGAAGTAGGGATGTTTTAATCTTCAAGAATTGCCAATAACTTAATTTACTCCATCATTTTTTCCCTTTTCTTGTCTGCTCTTTGTGAGCTACCTATTGATAATATGTAGTGTTATAAACTGTATTGGTTGCTTAGTTATGTGAGTATTCTGTTATTATTTTATGTCACCTAATAATTGTAGCAAAAATTCTATGTGTCATTCTAAAAACAGGAAAAAAATGTATCCCAGAGGTCTAAATTTAATCTCTGATAGTTAATGATTATATATATATAACAGCTGAGTATATTCTGGAGGAGACAACAAGGTATACTATACTTAACATACTTGAGAGAAAAAAAGAATAAGATACTGACTTGATCCTGTGTCCTTCTAGTAAAGAAATTAATGTATAACTTTAAGATTAGTAGGAGTTGCAGAAACTGAATTTAAATGGTGGGTTATTTTTTGTTTTTTTGTCATTGAGACATGTGGTAGAAGTGCTTCAGTGAAATAAAATGTTCGGTAGCCTGTTTCATGAAGTCTTAGATGACACATGTATCCTCCCAGGAGAAAAGGGTTTTGTTAAAAACACTTTTGAACACTTAAAACATTCATTTTACTAATTCTTATCTTTCATTATCTGATTTATCCATCTTCAAATATGGTCTTGCTAGGTAAAAAGAAAAGCCACATACAGTGCAGAGTTTGAAGTAAAGCAATTGTCTCTTTTGGAATTATCTGAAGAGTTGAAAACGAAGAGGGCTTTGTTAGCTAGGTACAGTATTGTGGACAAATGTGTCCCAACTTAATATTAACAGATCTGCTTAACTTTTAACTATTGGATTTGCTGTCTTTAAGATTTACCTATAAAGGAAAAAAAAGATCACAAATACAAAAAAAAAAAAAAAAAAGTCTTTTTCTCAGTGTTTATTGATAAAAGATCTGTGATTAAATGAAAACATGCTCTGATGTAGACATGCCAAAAAGTATAGAGCAGGTATCTTTTTCTTTTACTTGAAGTAGGCACATGCAGTCTACAAATTGTTTCTATTCTGAGTCCAGCAGTAAAAGTTTTTAGAAGTAAAAATATCAAAACAGTTACGTTGCTAATCCTTCTTATGAACTTGCCTCTTTCTCACTGTATAAAATTTGTTTTGGGTTAAGGCCATGGGCAGTGTTACTGTGGAAACTGTTACTGTGAGGCTGGTTGGCATGGAGATAAATGTGAATTCCAGTGTGACATCACCCCTTGGGAGATCAAGAAAAGATGCACATCTCCAGATGGCAAAATCTGCAGTAATAGAGGTGTGTCATTCATGCATTTCTTTTACACATATTCGTATAAGTTGCTTTTGTTATAAAATATGTACTTACTGCAATAGAACATAGGTCATGTTTTTTGATGATTTCTAGTTTGTTCTCACTTATTTAAATCTGAGTAAGTATTTCCAAGTGAGTGGCTGGATATCTCTGTTTCAAGGTAAACGTATATCTACACACTCATTTTTAGATGAAGCTAACCCAAGAAAATAAAGTTCTTTCATCCTTCATTTCTGTAGTAAGACTGAGCAGAAAAACTTCTCAGTGCACCAGCTCTGGTGAGAGACTCGTCCTGCTAAATCAAATATTAATATACTTGTCTTTGAATGGATCAGCGCTATAAGCAACAGAACAGTGTGCCAATCTTCTCTTTAAGAATAATAAGGACCCACAACTTGAGAAAACAAAGACACAAGCCTATTTGGCACGATTTGGCATGATATATTTCGAAGTTAGATTTTCTTTGCGTCAAGTCCCAGAATTTTAATTCTTATCTTATAATTCTGTTTAATTCTGACATTTTTTGAAAACAAAAACAGCAACAACAACAACAACAACAACAAATAGAACAAAATAAGATGAACATTTACCAGCTACTATATTTGGCTTTTTTTGAGGGAAGAGTTAAAAGAGCATGTTATTGTTTGTTTATATAGTACAGAACAAAAGTAGAACATAAGTTTAAGTCTTATTAATACTTCTCTTAAAAACATCTCTACTGACAAAACCTGCTATAATATGAACATCTAATTATCCTGAGAGCATTTAGAAAACTCTTTTCTCTTAAATATGAGGAAATTGAAAGATTGGTTAACATGCTGAGGTCATGTAGGCTCATTTAGTCTTGAGACTAAAAAAAAAAATTATGTATTTCTGGAAAAAATAAACATAGAAATGTTTCAGATTCTATTTGCACCAGGAAAATAATTTCTAGTCAAATTAAATCTGAAATTAGAACAATGACATTTCAGTGTGCAAATATTTCTTTAAATTTACATTGTATGTGGGAGAAATGAAGGTGAATAGTCTAGTAGTGTTCTGAAAAGCTGCAAACTTCTATAAAAAATACATTAATGTGATATTTAAAAATTTTTCATCTATTTGTGCTTTTACCCATAATAAAAAACTATGTAGGCTTTTGACTACATAAAGTTGCTTTCCAGTGTTTCTATTCTCTTTAGTCTTATTTAACTAGATTTCTGTGTTGACAAACACTGTGATATAGATACAGTTCATCTTGTCTTGCCCATTCTAAACTTAAGTATTGAAGCATGTCTCACTGTTTAGCTTACTCAGTGCTAAAATGGGTAAATTGTTTGTATCTCTCCACCAACCATCTAGTCAACCATCAGAGATCAGATGTGAACTTCAGATTTTTTAAACTTTGATGGGATGGTGCTTTGCATTCTAATATCCAAGAAATCTGATCCAGATTCACTTTGAAGTTGTTTCTGTGAGAATAAATCACTCTCCAGAAGTATTTATTCAATTTATGGTTTCATTTTGTCTTTTTCTCCCTCTTTCAGTAAGGTCACTGAATTGTGAAATAATCGATAATCTGATTCAAATTTCTTGAAAGCTGTTCTGGTGGCATTAGCACTTGACAGGCTTCATATGACAGTCATTCATGCACATTTGTGCAGTCCTTCTCTTTTTAGAGACAGTGCACGTGTCGACCATTCAATCACTCTGACCTGTTCTTCTCAAATATGTTGTTCAGAGTAATCTGAATAAGAAGACAGTGGAATTGATGGAATAGCAGGAAAGTGTCATTTCTGTCCAGGAAATGGACTGCATACATTTATACAGTTAGGCTGCTACTTTGTACCTGCTGACCTCTCAGCAAAATCGTATTTAAAATTATGAATAAGAAAACTGTATGTGCGTTCTGACTTTACCTAAATCAGTATGTTCTCTCTATATCAGTAAACCTGTGCTGAAGAAATATCTGTCATGTATAACATTTTCCTTCCTATTGTGAACAACAAGGTGTGGCCATGAACAATGACTTGGGAAAAGTGGAAAAAAGTATCATTTTCATGTAGATCTGCGCTGGTATTCTTGTTAGGTAAAGTTTTACTTCCCACTCATTTTCAGCTGGATTAAAATTTGGATTTTTTTTCTAGTTTAAATGTTTATGCTTTCACATACACTATTTATCCAGTTTATCTAAGTCCAAATCTTTTAAACAGCATTGATTTATATTCTTATTAGTGTTAGGGCAAATTACTGTTGATGTCTTCTTT